CTTTTATTTTATTGTATTCTTGTCAGATCCCAAATATTCATCAAATATTAGCAGAGATCAGAAAAGATAGTCTAATTTAAAAGTTTATAATCATTAGGCAATATTTTTCATTCTTTAATAAGATGATTGCCTAAAAAATTCAACAGCATCTGAAATCATGAAAATTCTGTAAAAATGAAGCAAACCAACAAAGTTGGCCTCCATGAATGAAAACATTCTTCTTAACATGCTGAATTAGTTCATATGCATTTACTTTCCAACATATTCCTGCTGGATTATAAATACCTTACAATATATAGCATGTGTCTCTACATTTTTAAAAATCATTTATTAAGTCTTTTCTTTCAAAGTTAAAAAAAAACCTATATGATTAATTAAAAGAAAAGATTTTTTCCCCTGAATTTAAATGAACCATTACATGGTCAATATGAGAATATAACTTACATCCTGTGTTATTGTGGTGGCATCAGCTGATAAGTTCATGACCTTGACTGGAGATTTGACAGGTATTGTGGCCTTGACCTCTGTGGTTTTGCGACCTGATTTCACTTGATTCGACTTCATTTTCTTAGGTCTGTGTGGACGGCGATTACCTGGTGCAGTCACTCCTAAAACATCAAGAAACATGATACTTCATACAATTAAGCCTTTGTCATTGATCACATGTTAAGCTTAGAGAGAAATTTGGTTTAAGTTCTCCTTTGCAACTCACAATTAAAATGCATGGACAGTGGGGATTTGAGATAAATTCTTACTTCTTCAAATGATCAACAACACCATTTCGAAGTTTAGTACTTCGGATTTTTAAACTGCAGAAACGGTACTAAAATCTTTTTTTGTGGAAGCATATTTTCAGTTGCAAAGGAGTAACAAATATAATTCTAATTTAGGCCAATACTTTAACATTAAACACATGTCAAAGAAAAAAAAGTAGCTAAGTTTAAATAAAAAATGTATAAGTTAAATGTGCGATAAAATTCAAACAATAAATTTATTTTGATTTTAATTCTTTTATCTCAAATATTTCTAGAATGTCTACAAGTCTTTTTTTAAAAGGACTGTACAAATTGTAATTTAATTAAAATTTCAATTCAATCATCAATCACGATAAATCTATTCAGTACTGTGCAATTTGAAATGTTGCAATTTCAATATTAACACTTTGACTAATCAAGGAAGTTTCCACATTTTCTTTTGCGTATAAATTGTTTTAAGGCCAAAAAATATATACGTGTTTCCGGTTATCTGACCCAACCTATTTTTTTCCACCCTACACTTTTTTTCGGAAAACTTATTTTTTCCAGAAGAAATTTGTGTTCGTTGCTGTTTCATATCATTTATTGAATCATTAAATCATCCTTTTAAAATTAACAAGAGAGGAAAATGTTACGAATTGTCCCTTGTAAAGCTGTTTTCACAGTAGCAATCCTGAAAGTGTTATGAATATCAAGAGGAATCGACATGGGATCATATAAATTTAATTAGTGATGTAACACATACCTGATAAATGACCAGTGACATTTTGTAATTAATCATTAATTTATTTCCAGCCATTTAAGATATTTATTAATAAATACTTTACTGATTTTGAAAACAATTACAGATATCACAATATTGTCGATGAGCTTACTGTACATAAATGCATCATGGACGTAAATAAATATGGGTCAAATATATCAGTACACGCTAATTTTTTTTGGCCTACCTGAAAAAAAGGTCTGGACTCACCTGGAACAACAGCGTCCTCACCATTCTTTTTTCTTGGATCTAGAAATACAACAATGCAAATTATACAGAGAAGTAGGTCTGGACAGATATCTGATATTCTCTGATCAAAAGTATAGACAAAGTATGTAAGATGAGAATAGTTAGAATAATCTAACTGTGTCTTGGCCAGTTGGGAAAGGCCCTCACCACAGTTAGAATGCTTCCCATATACCCACAATGTAGCAGAAAATTGCAGAATCACAATGAAATGATTTTGAAGAAAATAAATGAAGTTGCATTGCGTTGTCAAATTAATCATGACAGACCTTTTTGAGACTGTGGATACTTTACATCCAAAAATTAATCCATATATTCAAATTAAACATTTTTTCTCAACGTTTTTACTTGCTTCAAATTTACATTCCGTGTTGATTCGGAACTCTCTGGATTGTTAATAGAATATGCACTGAGTTCGAGTTATATTCCCATGTTTGTTTTGCTACATTGCCAATACACAGAATGCATTCTATCCTTAAGCCAGGTGCTTATAAGGACATTATCATTTTATTGATAGAACATTCTATCTAGAAACGAGAAGATTTATATTGCTTTAACCATTTACCCGTTCCAGAAAACAACACAATTACATTTCATGTATAATTGTACTGTGGTCAGTTTTGTAAAATTTGCAGTGTCAAACAAGAGATTTTACATCATTCCTAATTCATTGTGTCAACAGACAGTTTCAAAAGAAATGCAGAGAACAGGTGAAAACTGATTTGTTTATTCTTAACATTTTTTTTTAATTAAACCTCCTTCGAATGCAGCTAGCTATATTTTAATTTAATTGATACATATTCTTTTGCTTTCAGTTTTAACGTAGGAAATGAATGGAGATAAAAAGTGCCAAAAAATATTGACAGTGATAGATGCAGAAATACCAGAGCTGTGAAGCATGTTGTGACAAGCTTTTAAAAATGTCGTCTGCAGTCAGTCAAACTTTAAATGCTTCTCACATTCCTTAAATGAAAATTCCACATAATTAATTTAAATATTCTTTTGTCATTCAACACATACTTACCAATCTTTGTCCAGAAAACATCCTTAGAATTCGGTTGTTTACTTTCTGTCTCGTACATGCCGCGGTTTCCGATAACGCATGCGCGGCTTCCTTGGTAAGCGTATTGTTTAGATCCCAAATCGGAGAAATGTTAATTTCCCGAAATACAAGTCGGAAATCACGGATCGAGTCGGTCAATTCTTCAGACAGAACAAAACATTTAATTTGAGCATAAATATAGCACTTTCCAATGTTCGGATATCTATTGTCACATTGTCAGTGATAGGCTTATGGATGTAGTAAGAAAAAAGGTGGCGATGTAATGGAATAGAAAGGGGGGGGGGGTATTAGAGTTTAAAATTAATAAACAAGACATTGAACAGTGTTTTTTTTATGATTTAGGTGTTGTTTGGTACTTTATCATGATATATGTATGTGTACGTTCACATAAATAAATAAATAAATAAATAAATAAATAAAAAGAAAGAAAGAAAAAAGAAAATTTACAAAATGTAGTTATCATTTTTAATTAAAAAAAAAAAAAAACTAACTATCATTAGCTATGTTGAGGACTGAAGTATCCTCTGAGACCTTATAAATGTCACACGTAAAGATTGCAAACACGTTACCCCCATCAGCCCCCTAGCCCCTATTATTTATACTAACCAAAAACTGTAATTGCAATGTACATTCATATGAACTACTAACTGGACATGTTAATTTTTATTATTAAGATTGAATATTCATTAACTCATTTATTTTATCTTCATAAATCGATCGATCGAGAGAGAGAGAGATGGGATAGGATGAGTCAATTATAGTTTTATCAGCGATGAACTTTAAATTTATTAAATTACATTTTTAAATGTATGATGGCATGCTGAAATATTAACGAGATTTAAGGTTTTAAAGAAAAAAAATTAACATTATTTTTTTTTATTCATAAATAATATTAACATCTTGCATGTAACACCGTGTCAATAAAAGTGAGTCTGTAAATCAGATTCTATATATAGTATAATTATATTTGAAAAGAAATCATAATCTTTGCTAACAATACTTTCTGTTAGACATGACAATAAATATCGATTTTTTTTGTTTTGTTATGTTTTGTTTTTTTTTGTTGGTTGGTATTTTTGTTTTGTTTTGTTTTCTTTTATTTATTTATTTTTGGTTTTTGTTTGTTTGTTTGTTTTTGTTTTTGTTTTTTTTAATTTCATATTCTTTCTTTCTTTGTATCTTTTTTGCACCTTGAAAACTCTAGGAAAGGGGAAGGGGAGGGGATTACGCAATTCTAGCTATTTTAATTTTTAAAAGATTACTTTGAATATGAACAATTACAAAATGAATATGAGTTTGAAAGGCGTTTTAATTTACAAATAGAACTTGTATCTGTTTAGGGGGGCTGATAGTTTAATTCAAAATACGAAAGAAATATTAAACTGAAACTGAACCGACGCTTCAACTTGTATACAATATCTTTATTAGACTAAAGCATAATATACAGAAATAAACTAGGACTCGTTTGATAAACTTATAATATAATCCGTAAATCCGTTTCTTTGTGATATATTACAATCAATATATAACAACATACAGTTCCCCTGCTTCACAGTATTCACACTATGTAATATATCTGACCGTAGGAGAAAAAAAAAAAAGAGAAACATTTGTCAAGAATGCGATAGGTTCCTGTACTTGAGACCTTTGGAAGAAAGGATGAAACGATGAATCAGTCGTGATATGAAAATATTTTCTCATTTTTTCTGTACACAAAAATATCAAAATGAAGATAAATTCGGATGGCTTAAATAAGGCACCATTATTCAAATGTCTAGTATATATACACAAGATCCAAGAAATGCTGTCTTAGACTTTCATACATAGGACAGTATAGTAAGAAAAAGGTCAGTTGTATCGGGCTTACATGTACCACTCGCAATATGGCTGTCAGTAACTTCTCCTTTAAGATATGAACATTAATTTTAAAATAAATTGCATTCAGATCTTAGTCTCATATAAAATACAAGGCGCTCTCTGCGAATCATGAGGGCATGAGGTGTAGGAAGAGAGGTTTGATCCTGAGGGATTCTTTTGTTCAAAGAGAGAAAGATCGAGTGTCTCCCAAATGCAGATAGGAGGAAAGAAATTTTCTAACGTCTTTGAGTTGTTTTTACACAATCTCTGAAGAACTTTTTGCTCGCCTGCTGATAATTGTGCTCTTCACAGTGTTTTTTTTTTCAGTAGTAGCATCAAGATATTGGAGGAAGGGGTGGGGGTTAAAGGTAAGTGATCATGTATTGAACACTTTAGTCAATTTCTCGCTTTTTTTCCAAATGTTCCCACACTGTTTCTTTGTTTCCTTGAATGCCAATAATAGAGGGATTTTTAATGAAATTAATTCTAAAATATATTAAAGGTTCGCTACTTCTGGATCCACCATTTTACTGATTGCTATAAATGTTTTCTGTAGCACTTTGTATGTGATCATATACGGATCTAAAGACCAGACCATACTCATCCTGAAAAAAAAAATGACTATATAAATATACTTGTTACACCGAATGTATGGCTATATAAACTTGCAGATGAATATAGCACATTTCTCTCCATAAAAAGAGTTCATGCGTTTTGTATCTGTTTTCATTTTGTTTTCAATTTTGTTCGTTTATTCCAGATACAGTAATTATTTAAAATAAATTTATGTCTTCAATAGGGAAGGGAATTTACAAGCTTTGAATTATTATAATCTACCTATAAAGTCACCATTGCATCTAATTCACTGCATGTAACTTACAAAATTAGCACAGAACTCTGGTTTTCTAACTTGAAGCTGTCTGACGGCTGTAAAGACATCCACGCCGTCGTCCATGTTTATTTGTTGTATCACGTTATGAACGGCACAGAAAACACCACAGAGGGATGCACCATCTCTGTTGCAAGGAAAAAAAATACAATTTAAGCAAGGAAATAAGGATACAACTCACAAATACGTATTGTAGGATTTGACACATGGACGCAGAGAAAAATAAGGCAATTCTCTTTTCTGCTTCAATTTTTAGTAAGGCGTGACATTCTCGGCGATACATACTGGCCATCAGTGAAATCAAAGAAACGAGATAACAACAAAATGTTAAATATTATTTGATTAGGCTTTGGCATGTTTTAGCTAATGTCAAATATTCACCTCTCAGTTGGTGAGTTATGACAATTCATATTAGATAATGCACATTTTAGCATTGGAAAAGGGAGATAAAGAAGATGGGCGAGCATGGCGAGCTCAATGCATATAGTGCGATAAACATGAAGGTGAAAAATGAAATCTAAATTATATTAACATTTTCTTTGAAATTTCATCTAAAATTAAAGTATACGTTATGTAAAATCTCCACAATTTGCAAGAACCTCACAAGGATTGAAATTATTTGCCTATGAAATAACATAAACACACTAAAGAGGACAAAAAGGACCACACTATAACACAATTTTTCGATATGAGGGAGTCTTCGCTCCATATTTTTGAAAGTTTATCCTCAAAGTTTGCGTAAAAATATACATTTTTTGGTTAACAAAAACATGTAGCAAAGACCCACTATACCTTAAAAATACACTTTTATCCCTAACAATAGAATACTAAAGTAAACTATAGTTAACTATAGTTTACTATAGTTAACTATAGTATCAAAGTAAAAACTTTGGAACTTTGATTAACTATAGTGAAAACGTTTGAACTTTGATTTACTATAGTAAAAACTTTGGAACTTTGATTTACAATAGTGAAAACATTAGAACTTTGATTTCCTATCGTAAAAACTTTGAAACTTTGATTTACTTTAATAAAATCTTTGGAACTTTGATAAAGTATAGTAAAAACTTTGAAATTCGATTTAATAGAGTAAAACCCGTGGAATTATGTTTCTGATTCCCATTCTTGCCATTTCATGATATTTTGTGGTCAGATTTTTTAAAAGCTTCACAGAACTTTTCATAAACATGGCCCTCCAGTGAAAAATTAATGTACAAGAAATGAATTTTAATATAAGGTTGTCTTTCGCGCCGATAGATGAGCAGCATGTATTTAAATGTATTTAATATAATGCAGATATAGTGTATTTTTTTTATGGAGAAAGGAAAGTGAAAAAATAAAATTTGCGCCATTTTCTAATCAAAATACCTGCTCCATCAACTTCAGTAAACATGTATTTTTACATTGATAAATGTTAATATTGCATTTGAGTTTACTAATTTGTAAATTTGAATTAACATGTACAACAACCCCCAGCACCCACACAACCCCACGTCCACCCTAAAAAGCGACAAAATAAGCAAAAAAAAATTAAAATACTTTAATAAGTTGATATACTATTGTGAAAACTTTGAAACGTTGATATGAAACTTTGATTAACTTTAGTAAAAACTTTGGAATTTTGATTTATATAGTGAAAACTCTGGAACTTTGATTTACTATAGTGAAAACTTTGAAACTTTGATTAACTATAGTGAAAACTTTGAAACTTTGATTAACTATAGTGAAAACTTTGGAACTTTGATTTACTATTGTAAAAACTTTGGAACTTCGAATTACTATAGTGAAAAACTTTGGAATTTTGATTTACTATAGTGAAAACTTTGGAACTTTGATTTACTATAGTGAAAACTTTGAAACTTTGATTAACTATAGTGAAAACTTTGGAACTTTGATTTACTATTGTAAAAACTTTGGAACTTTGAATTACTATAGTGAAAAACTTTGGAATTTTGATTTACTATAGTGAAAACTTTGGAACTTTGATTTACTATAGTGAAAACTTTGGAACTTTGATTAACTATAGTTAACTATAGTTTACTATAGTATTTTTTTTTTGTTAGGGATGACACAATGTTCGCATGTTTCCGAGAAATACTTGAAGTCCATTTAGTCAAGGGTCATATCACAAACATGATTAAAATGTCACCACTCATCAGGAGCTATGTAGTGTAGTTAGCGTGTTAGTCTCAAAGGTAAATGATACCCAGTTTTTTTTTATTGCTAGGGTTCGAACCCTTCGAATCCCACATTTTCTTAAAAACAGAATAATTTTTGCCAAGAAAATTTTCCTCAGAAATGTTTTGTTTATCATAATTTCAAATATTTCAATAATGAGAACTTTACTCTAAATACTAAATTCATAAACTGATTATGATTTTTTTTAATATATATATCTGAAGCTATAGGCATTCTGCGCGCCTTGTTCACCCATCTCCTTTAGAAAACTTCATAAAATTTAATTGCAAAGAGCATCTTTCTATCAAAAGCCCAGGATGGTGTATTCTTGTTTCTAAGTGAAACTCAATATCCAAACTATGGATAAAAATGTCCTATATACATTTATTATCTGATGGTAAAATACAAACATTTGCATATTGAATGTTTTGCAAGGGTCAGGAATTACAGATATATTGCCATGCACTCCATTTGCATTCTGTGTAAACAAATTGATGAGTTTTTCTTACAATAAAGTAAAATAAATGAATGATAATGATATATATCAAATATAACAATATAAATGGATTACTTGCTGACAACTGTAATCGGTTTTTCATTCTCAGAACTCAGGGCGACAGATACCAGGCCTCTAAGCTGGGATGTGTCTTGAGGGTGTCCGGATGTTTTGATGGCGGTTTTCGGTTCAATTATCGTTACTGAATGAGCCTCCTCCTCAGACTAATATTAGAAAAATGTAACACCATAGAGCATAAAAGGAGTGTAAATTCAAGTGAAACATATCAATTTCTTATTTTTGAACATATTTTATGAATAAATAATTACACTCATACAAAATGCGCAGTATCATGTCCTACAAGTATATGAAGAGTTTCATTCGATTTCATTTTGGTTGGTAAAAAAAATCATTGACATTGTTATCTGATTTAATTATGATATAGAGGTATACAAGACAGAAATCACATATACGTATGAATCATCATCAGTGAAAACTACTCACAGTATTCTGAAGGAGGTGAATTATAGTGCTTTCAACGTCATTTCCGGTCCTTAACTGATTCTGCTGATAGTGAACAGAGAAAGGAGAGACTACCTTGGAAGAGGAGGGACTTGGTAACCATGTCGTACTCTAGAACGAAGGAAAACTGAAGTACACTAACATTTACTTGATACATATAGAATGTTCAGCTGTCACAGTTCCAAACAGTAATTCGTATACATACCTACATATTTTGAAATATTTCTAAAATACTTCAAGTAAAAAGAAAATGCTCTGTTTATTTTGTTCCTTGAAGTTATTTATTGATTTAACAAATCGTAATTATTCATTAATAAATACTCATTAATAAAGTCTGTATAAACTTGATTAAGATTTTAATGAATGAGAGAATCGAAAGTTTAAGGTAAGCATTACTAGTATTTTCTTTTCCTTTAGTGCGTAAGTTATACGTTTTGAAAATTTAAATTACCTACCGATCCAATCTCATTAAGTGGGTCCACACAAATTACAGTATCAGATTCGTAATCATTGAGCAGGCGCAGGAAGTCAACAGCGTCCTCTGTCGGTGGATACTGCGTCACTATAAACGCCCGGCTGTTGGTATATGACTACAATTACAGAAGTCCAGACTGTAACATATCATTTTTTTCCCTTCAAATCGAGAAAGCGGAAGATCTCTTGCCTCAGATTTTTATCCATGAATACAATTAATGATATGTAATAAAAGAATTGTGAATGAAATTGTTATATATATTATGTGTAGAATTTAATTTTCTTTATAAATGTTCTTTGATCATCATCGGTACAATACGTATACCGGGTATTTCCTTACCGGTACATATATTGCGTTGATGAAGCTTCCTCTGTTTGACACCACAGAGGAGAGATGGACACTGTATTTATCCACTTGTTAGTGAAACAGAAAAAAAAAAAACTATTAAAAGAATCAATTAATATGTTGTTAACTTTTGAAAAAGGATTTAAAAAAAAAACGAATCTTTTTTTCCCATTCTAGATGTAAAATGTTAAAACTGTATTAAAATTATTCAGTCTATTTGAATATAAACTAAAATAATTATGAAGACAATCAGATGGTTAGACTGGATACTAACAAGGTAGTATACTATTCGTATGTGCACCGCCACATCCTTCTATAGCTATTTTGTAATCAGAGTCCGCATATGTTGGTCGTACTTTCATCAAAAGCTACAAAGATGAAGACATTAATTAGTATATTTGTAGAATTAAACAATTAAAAATTGCCCTGGTTGGATATAGATTTATCAAATTTAATCTTTAATATTCGTTAAAACACTTACAAACTCACTTAAACTGTTGGGTTACTCCCACCGACTCACTTACCCGATCAGTATATGCACTAACGCTGGCAGACTGCCTTCTTCACAACCCTCCCTGCCCCCAATATTGTACCCAATCAATTTGACACTTAATCAATATGAATCACTCTCTGCCTACTTGCTTCTCAATGTGCCTCATTACCTCAATGAATATCTCATCACTCTCTCACTCACTCACAAGCTATATAAGTTAAATAACTCATTCACTCACTCATTCGCTAAGTCATTCACTTACTTTCCCCTTACTCACTAACTCACTCACTAACATTCTCCTTACTCACTCGCTTACTTATTCACTCACTTTCTCCTTACTCGCTAACTCACTAACTTTCTGGTTACTCACTCGCTAACTCACTCACTTTCTCCTTACTCATTTGCCAACTCACTCACTTTCTCCTTACTCACTCGCTAACTCACTCACTTTCTCCTTACTCTCTCACTAACTTACGAAAGCCGGATAGGCTCATTTTTGACAAGATAAAAAAATATTTAACTCGTTATAACGATTTTATTATCTCGTTATAACGAGTTAGTATCTCTCTATAACGAGTTAGTATCTCGTTATAACGAGATAATTAAGTCCTTATAATGAGTAAGTTATTTCGTTATAACGAGTTAGTTATCTCGTTATAACGAGTTAGTATCTCGTTATAACGAGTAAATATCTCGTTATAACGAGTTAGTTATCTCGTTCTAACGAGTTAGTTATCTCGTTATAACGAATTAGTATCTCGTTATAACGAGATAAATAAGTCGTTATAACGAGTTAGTTACATGTATCTCGTTATAACGAGTTAGTTATCTCGTTATAACGAGTTAGTATCTCGTTATAACGAGATAATTAAGTCGTTATAACGAGTTAGTTATTTCGTTATAACGAGTTAATATTTCGTTATAGCGAGTTAGTTATCTCGTTATAACGAGTGAATATCTCGTTATAACGAGTAAGTATCTCGTTATAACAAGTTAGTTATCTCGTTCTAACGAGTTAGTTATCTCGTTATAACGAATTAGTATCTCGTTATAACGAGATAGTTTCATGTATCTCGTTATAACGAGTTAATATCTCGTTATAACGACTAAGTTATCTCGTTAAAACGAGTTTTTATCAGGTTATAACGAGTTAGTTATCTCGTTATAACGAGTTAGTATCTCCCTATAAAGGGATAATTAAATCGTTATAACGAGTTAGGTATCTCGTTATAACGACTTAGTATCTCGTTACATGTATACCGACTAAGTTATCTCGTTATAACGAGTTATTTATTTCGTTGTAACAAGCTAGTATCTCGTTAAAACGCGTAAATATTTCGTTATAACGAGATAATTAGGTCGTTATAACGAGTTAGATATCTCGTTATAACGAGTTAGTTATCTCGTTATAACGGGTTAATATCTCATTATAACGAGTTAGTTATCTCGTCATAACAAGTTAGTATCTCGTTATAACGAGTTAGTTATCTCGTTATAACAAGTTAGTATCTCGTTGTAACGAGTTTGTTATCTCGTTATAATGAATTAATTATCTCGTTATAACAAGTTAGTGTCTCGTTATAACGAGTTAGTTATCTCGTTATAACAAGTTAGTATCTCGTTATAACGAGATACTAACTCGTTATAACAAGATACTAATTAGTTATAACGAGATACTAGATTGTTATAACGAGATAACTAACTCGTTATAACGAGATAATTACCTCGTTATAACGAGTTAAATATTTTTTATCTTGTCAAAAATGAGCTTATCCGCCTTTCGTACTAACTCACTCGGTCACTCCCTACCCTTATCTCTCTAGATCTCTCCCTCATTCATCTTTCCAACAACTTGTACTACCTTTGACAATTCAGTGACTTTCATCACTCAAGTAATGAAAAAATAATTCAGTAAAACATGTACAGCTATTCTTGTTTGAAATTCTTTCACTCAGTACCTGGAATTCTTTATGCAGTTTGCTCTGATTAGCTGGTTTGTCCATGGAGAGAGAGTGCGCCTTTTTAGTAAATTCTTCAATTGTGTTTACATTCACAGGAGATTTGTATATTTCGTTTAACGCAAGAAATATAGTTATATACTGTTCCTGAAACATTGAGTATATTTTACATAAGTATAGCGATTTCATGTGAAAAAAAAAATAAGAGAAAGCAAATAAAAGCTATCGGTTCTGTAGCGCCTGGTATGGTAAATAAAATTTACTAAAATCACGAGCAATACTGCACTCAATTTTCCCATACAGCGACATTAGTTAGTGTTGGTGACATACATTACCTTTTATTCTAGTATTTTTCTATACAATATTTTACTCTAGGAGAGTTGAAATGGTAAGACTGTTTCAGTACTATGTACTTTTTAAATACATAGACTGTTTATTACATAAAGACTGTTGCTTTGGAGGAGGGGGAATAGGCTGTTAAAGAAGGCTAAGAAAGTGTTTCGTTTTCATTATAATTGTTACTTTAAACAGACTGCTTGTTTTGCATGGTTACAATTGACTGCTATTTAAATAAAAATTGAAATAGAATTCTTCAGTGGTTTTATTTCACATGGATCACTCTTTCAAGACGATTGTAATTAACTATTGTTTTTACACAGCGACTCTATTAAGGTATTGTTATTTTGCAAAACATTAACATAGACTGTTATTTCAGTGTTATAGACTCACGTATGTCTGGACCATATTCATTCTGTTTTCTCTCATCTTCTTGACATATTCCGCTACGTTTACTTTCCCCGTTTTTCTTCCTATCTGGTTCAGGGCGTCTATTGCTATGTACGTTCCCGTTCTTCCTATACCAGCACTATAACCCAGAAGATATATCTATGCTTATCAAACTTTTAATGTACACGCATCTAGTAATATCATATTTTCATATGTATATTTTAAATCATTTTCATTTCGTGCATATCAACAATTCTAATTTAGATGAAAAACTTATAAATAAAACATTTTCATCTAAATTAGAATGCACCTGCAATGCACAACAGTAGGGGAATCATTCTGAGTGGTTGCTGTTCTGGTCACGTGATCAAGGAAGACAACAAGACATAGAGGATCCGGGGTTCCGTGGTCTGGCCATGAAGTATAATGATACTGGGTCACCACACGTGACTTCTTTGTCTGACAATGTAATTAAGCAGTGCTAAGATAAATGTTTTGAATATCAAATACTAGTATACTTGTACATTGAAGGTTACTTAATATTATAGCAAAGTAGGACTTTTCATTTTAATTCATTACAATGTTAAATTTGGTGAGCTCTTGAGTGTTTTTTTTAAGCATTCAATTTTTTTTAAAACACTAAGTACATGTATACATTCATGCATAAAAATCTTAAGGAAATTAAAAAGAATTGGACTCACACACTGGCACACACAAACACACAAATGCGATTCCAATTTTATAAAATTCGTATTACATTTATTGTCATCATTTAAGTATTATTATCCTTAAATGAAAGATGGATATTGATTACCTAATTAAAGATCGCTGGAAATTTTACAATTTACCATAGAAAATTAATCCCTGGAAAATTATGAGTGTTTGCTTCAACAAAATATAATGACGTTTTTATAACATGATATTAAGGATACACCAAAGGCTTTTTTTCAAGATTTTCAACAATTTTGAGATTTTTGGCCAAGAAAAAGAAGTTAATCACTGCTTTATAATGCATGTAAAATTCTTGGTAATTATGAAATGGTTTTCTAATTATTTAACAATAATGAAACATAAACACTACCACATGTGAATGTTCTGTTATTGAAGCTTCTGATTTGATCTGTGACTGCCTGCTCATGAAAGATGCAATAAATCACTGTGACCACTTGGGGAATTCTTCACTAGCCACACAGAGATTATCAGTAATTAAACTACAGGGACTCTAGATTTAGAGAAAGAGATCTAACAGATCACTGATGACCATAAAATAGGAGGTGGAGCTTAGCTCTTGCCATTTTGCCGGGAAATCTTACTGATTCAGAATTGAACCTATTTTACTTAATTAAAAGCATCTAAATACAGAAAAGAACCTCATATTCTTGTGAATATGCATAGGAAATATGGCTAAGTGACAGGTATCCAAAGCTGAATCTCCAAGGTGTCATATATTCCTAGCTTTGGCAGATTTTGTTGTGTAATGGGTTTTTGCCCTCTACTGTAAAGTAAGATCCGACAGTTTGTGGTATTATTTCAAAGGATTCAGCTCCCTTATTTATGGACCAATTTCTCTGAAAATTGGATGGGTTGCTTCTCAAATGTGTGTTCACAAAACCGTATCTCAGATTTTTGATATCTAGCATAGTTTTGGAATTATTGAGGGAAATGTCAAATTAGGCCAAGAAATTGGTAACATTGAAGGGCAAATGGCTGTAACTTTTGAATTAGAAGATTTATCAAAAATCTGAGATACGGTTTTTAAGTTCAATCTTTAATCTACCTTGAGGTAAAATGACCACTTTGAGGGGTTAAATACAAAAAAGTTGATTTAAAAAATATTTAAGCACTAAGATTTACATTAAGATTTAAATAATTTTTGAATAAGTTATTAGTTAAAGTTTAAATAAGGATAATTAAATAGTAAATTTAACAAGCTTTCAAATGATATATACTTTTATTATGTTATCTTTGATAATGAAAGACTTACATGCAAATTAAATTCTGGCATTTGGAAACCTTTGGTGTATCCTTAACAGAAATGTGGTGAAGTACCAAATATTATACAATTTTCCCTTTCAAAAACATCCCTCCTTATAATTCAATATATCGTGGAAGTGTCGGAACATAAAAAAAGTTACTTCTCGGATTGCAAAGTCTGCGTAATAAGATATACAATACAAATAGATATTGGTTTTGGTAAAGTACCAACCTCTTTATGGATAACAGTCATTTTGCGTACAAGGTAGAATGCGTATTCTTTTTCCTCGAGCATTTTCACAGACACAGTTCCATAGTTGATGTGTTTGTTTGCATCTGGCCAGTACTGGGTACATTTGATCTTGAAATACATAAATAGATAAAACGTGTGATATCATAGCAATGTAATTAAAACAAACCATAAGTTCTTCAGTAAATTTCAAAGAAATCCACAAGTTTTTGCTTTCATGAAGAAAATTCATAAATATATGGCTATAAAAAAGTACATGTAACGAAAATGAAAACTTTGATCTTCCAGGGTAACGGTAGATTAAAAATTAAAACTGATTTCATAAAATTGACTTGATATTAAGCAGGTAGTAACATATCACCATTATTTTTTTAACTTCAAATTTAGATGTGGATATGGAATTTAAACTTTATTAGACCAGAAAGTTTTAATTTTTCTTAAGGAAGCTCTAAACACTAAGAAAAAGTGCTTTTTAGACTTGGAGAAAAAATCATCTCATATAAAGGTGTGCATATTGAGACTATTTAATTCATTTTCAACATAGGGCACCTGCCTTATTTCGGTAGAAAAAATGTTCAAAGACAATGGACTATTCGTGAACAGAAATCACTGTTGTTTACTTACATTGGGAAAATTAACGAAAATCATGAATTCAATTACTTATTCTTGGTATAATATAATGTTAGAACAGTTTAATCTATTACAATTTGTGTAACTAACTGTAATAGCCATTTTTTTCTATCTTACTTCTAAGGGCAGATCACTCTAACTGCATAAAACTATCCTACAAGTAGCACTTGTTAGTGTGCAGTGTTTAGAGCTTCCTTAATTAGTACATTTTTTTTTATGTAATTAATTCCTGTATCATCTTGTTATATGCGTCTTAAAGAATCTGAACGTAAATCTAGCATAAAATTGAGCAAAAAAATAATAGAAACGTTTTAGTCGGACGTCAAAAGTTGAATAACAATCGGAATTCCATTCTAACATGTAATTACAAACATCTGAAAGGCTGTACTTATTTCCCATATTACTTTTCTGATAAAATTTCATTAAAAAAAAAAAAAAAAAAAAAAAATCTATGTCATGTGTGATGTAAAATAAATGACATAAAGCAGATTTTATTGATAAAACAGAAATAACAGTATTTCAAAAAGACCAGTACGAATTTTTTAACTACCCAATTTTCTTTGATTTTTTTCTTGTACAAATGACGTAGACAATTTATACTAGTATCTTAAGTTCAGAATGAACAAAACATGTCGACAGTGTAAAAAAAATTACAGGGTTACATTTTAGTATAATATTGAATATAAAAGAGCATCGTAGAAACGGGAATTTTATATCAAACGATGCCTTAATAAACGTTTTTTATTGTTTGAGATGTCTTTTGCATGAAAGTACGGAAGCCCATTAGTGCCAACCTGTATATATAAAGGAAAAGCAATATATAAAAGCAAACCTCATTATATAAAGGAAATGCGAAATATAAAAACAAAATCTCGATATATATAAAGGAAATGCGAAATATATAAACCAAACCTCGATATATATATAAAGGAAATGCGATATATATAAACAAAACCTGGATATATAGAAAGGAAATGCGAAATATATAAACAAAACCTGGGTATATATAAAGGAAATGCGAAATATATAAACAAGACCTCGATATATATAAAGAGAAATGCGATATATATAAAGAGAAAATTTTCCACTGCGTGACCTGTTTCACTCAGCTGTCCATCAAGATTATATACAGATTAACTCCTGGCGGAGGGAAAATCAGTTATACAGTACTCATGTATAACTTTCCCAGAATCGGCAAAATGGTGCTATTTAATAGTGTTTATTTATTTATACATGCATGCATATATCAATGAACTGTAATTGTTACGTACATTACTCAATATAATGCACTTAATCATGTTAATTGAGTAGATGAGAATTTATTTATATATATTCATGAAATAAGTATAATGTGTATCGTATTTTCTGTGTATATATTGGCTTTACATGTATTTTGATCAATTTCGTTTTTACAACCTACCTTCTGTACTGTTTTACAAAACTTAGCCGTATTACCTTTGGTTTCACAACCGAAAATTTATGAAAATAATGATTAACATGGAGTCCTAACAAGTTCGGATCAGTATTTTTTATGTCCTAATTCAAATTTATTAAAATTTATTATAAAAATAATATACTAGTATGCCCATTGATTGTAAAAAAGGAATCGAAATCGGAAGGGAAGAGAGGGGAGAGATCAATGAAGGTGCTCGTCCCCCCCCCCCCAACCCCACTTCATTTGAATGTGAGGGAAGATCGGAATTTGAGAGAAGAAGGCGACAGGTACAATTACTGTAATAATTTTAGGGTATTTGGTGTGAAAAAATATCAAGTATTAGGGAATTAATGAAAAGAAACGAGTTAGTGCACACTTACATAATTAAGGTGCGGATTATTGTTTTACGTTGTAAATTAAATCGATTTTAAATTCTCCATGCATTATGTAAAAATCATAGTAAAACGTTAACGAACTTATAAAAATGATAACACACACTTGCATTTTTGCACTGAATTATATTTCGATTGAAAAGACCCCCAACATTTAGTGCTATGGAATATACATATTGATCAAAAAAGTCTCTTTGGTGTAATTCTGCCCCACATGTTTGAACTGTAAGAAGAACAGCAGCTTATTAGTCCTCTACCGGTGAAACCGGAGGGAACTATATGTTTCCTCTGAGTCTGTCCGTCCGTCTGTCTGTCTGTCAGTCTGTCCCACTTGGTTTTCCGCACTTTTTTCTAAACGCTTGCAGACATTGAACTGATTTTTGGTATGTAAGTGTATATTGATGAGTTACAGATCAAGTTTGCATTAAGTTTTGCTTCAATGATTTTTTGACGGAATTACAGCATTTTTAATTTTAAATGGGAACCAGATTACACTTGCCAGTAGGGGACTATTATTGCTAATGCAATACTCTCAGAATGCTTGTTAGCTTTAGTTTTAATCATCATAATTATTAAGATACACAAATAAAGAAAACATAATACACTAATACCATCCTGAACCTGAGCCACATCAACCGATTGCACTCAAAACATTAGATCGGGAGCCGCTTATCATATGTTGGCGAAGTCCCTGTTGTAATGAAAGTCAATAAACATGTTAAAGGCGATGGAAATTTTTCTCTTTATAAAATCGATGTTTTGTTTATATATTTCGCATTTCTCTTTATATATATATCGAGGTTTGTTTATATATTTCGCATTTCCTGTATATTTATCGAGGTTTGTTTATATATTTCGCATTTCCTTTATATATCGAGGTTTGCTTTTATATATTGCTTTTCCTTTATATATAGAGGTTGGCACTAATGGGCTTCCGTATGAAAGGATTTCAAGGGTTGGTTAATATCCCGTTTTCAATATTTTTGCTTTCGAGGATATTAAAATCAATTAGAGTGCAGAGGCATTAATATATTTATGTATCATTCATTTTGATGATATGACTATTATTCATTGAAAGCATCTATACGTTAAAAGATTATTTTTTTTATTTTTAATGCAGTTTACCTTATTTCTTTCTTTCAGATTTGTCAGCATCACAATAACAGATACATTCTCTTGCCAAATCATCGTCCAAAAATCCCCAACAGTGTTTTGCTTTGGTCCTAAAATAAATATTTATGTTTATGTGCAACATAAAGTGATCTATACAATCTGTTGTTTATTCTACATTGTACTATTGAAGAGAATATTTTTCCCCAGAATTTACAATGCTAGACAATAAATGATTGTTTTTATCTATATCTTGATCACAGTATGTGATCAATGTAAATCTAATTTATTCACAAAGAGATAAATAAAGCATTATTTCAAGGTCTTGCATTAAAGCTGATAATACGTAAACGCAAATATAAATCTGAATATTTTCACAATATATGCACACGTCAAATGGTCGTGTAATCTGGGTGACTACCCCCCCCCCCCAAAAAAAAAAAGTTAAAAAATGAGAAAAGTGTTGGTTTAGAAGGAAAGTTCAACTTTAAACTTCCCGTATAAAAGGAACACATCTGGTTTTCATATTATTAACAAAAGTTTTCTAACAACATATATAGTTCAACACAGCAACACTTGTTCGATACAGGTTTTCAGCACTGAGGGGGAAGTTACTATTGTTTGTCATTTTATGCAGAAAATCCTTCATGTAGGTCATTAGTAAAGAAAACCAATGGGGAAAATTTCACTTTTAACACGGATGTACTGAATGCAATACAGTGGGTCATAAATGGAGTTTTGAAAGTTAAACTGACGAATGTGCGCAGTGAAAATTGATGTTTTGTTTTAAATATACAAAGACACATATCTGAAACAGATAATCTCCCAAATAAAAAGTTTATGACACACGAACCTACGTTCATAAATTTTTCATAATGATAAAGAATAGAAAATAAACCTTGTGCAGCGATGTATTCATGATCTCTCTCTGCGCCCTACAATGTAAAGATAAAATATAAACAATGGTTTTGAATAACAACAGAAATAGGTTCTTTTTTCAATTAACAAAACTTACCACCTGTAAAGACACATATCTGAAGATTCATTTTATGTTTTACTAAATTTATAGATGTTATTTACAGTTTACACTATGAAAAATAAAAGCGCTTTAAGGTCAGAGGATACGTTCCTCAAATATCTGTTTTGTATATCATCATAAAATATGAAAAATATTCAAAATGATAATTACCTTGTAAACTGTTTTCTAATTGTCTTTAAAAATCAACATACTAAAAACTTTAATATTGGCAAATTAAGTTATTTTCAAAAGGATAATATAAGAAACACCATCCTCTGGTATCTTGCGGAAATGCCTAGTAAGGTACCTCAATTTTTTATGAGTAAACATGTTAAAGTAGCACTACTTCAATGACAAAATCTTGGAAAAAATATATATTATTGAGGAGCGTTTCGTCTATCCTTAAGGACAATGAATTGATGAGTGTAGATATTGAATTATTTTACATGTACTAAGTTTTAAAGTCACTTTACCTCTATATAGTTGGCGTTTATATAATCCGACCCAGTCTCGGTCTTTAAGATTACCCTTGAATGGTCATCTATTTCAAATGGGAAAATATATATATATATAAACAGATTCTTCTTGATTTGAAATACATGAAGAAGTATATGACGTTATATACGTTGATTGATATTAACGTGTAAATAAAATCAAACCAGACTTACAAGGAAATGTAGTCTTAAATCTATTTTTAGTAACATTTTCACTTTTCTTTCCAACGTCACATTTGTGATTTTCCCCATAAGGTAGAGTCTGAAATTTATTAAATATATTCCAATCTGAGCATTGTTCGCATGACCTAAATGTTTACTGGACTGTTGTAAATTGATATTTACAACCCAAAACATTTATCTAAAAAAGATAGTCTGGTTTACATTGTCAGGGAATGATTTTAAACTAATTTTCCTTATCTAGACATGATGAAAAGATAAAAGAAAATCTACACAATTCAAACCTTTTATATTATAAGGATTGTGTTACATCAAGTATTAATTGTGAATCCTCTAACCTATATGAAAATTTGAAATATATGACAAAAATATTTTATCTGGTGCCTGGATCTAAAAAACGAATTATATTTAGAGTATCACAAAATAGATTTCTGTCTGTATGCGTACAAATCTTACTACTTACCGCATACTCTTTCTGGAATCCGTCATTATCATCTTTGCTTTTCTCAGAAATGATACGCTCTAACCGACTCATTGGAATGTCCGGTGTAGTGATATTATTCACGTACATTTCACCATACGGATTTTCTGCGTGTATGAGTTCATCTTCATCAACATCAACTGCGTTTTCATCTTTTTTACTTATTAGGGATTTTTCATCTTTGGTTTTCATTGAAGACTTATTTTTGCGAGTTTTGGAGGACAAGACACCAATGTCTGTAATTTTTTCCGTACCATCTCTCTTTTCATCTTTAAACACAAAACAATTAATTATATCGATTTTATATTAGGTGCATAATAAAAAAAGTTAATATTAAAAGGATACTTCTTAATAAATTTATATCTCACAGTGTATGGCCCTTTTGGTCTGTTGCTTGTCTCCCTCACCTTTGAGTATATGACGTCTATTTTGTAAAATAAATGATTAGAAGAAAATGATGTTGAAATAAGTGTTAAGTACAAGATGGTTACAGTCCAGTATCGATATGCCTTGAAATAAACAGTGTTTGGTAAAAGTAATAAGTAAAGCCAGTGTTTTTAGATGTAAAGTTTACCTTCTCAATACCAGCACCACGATCAGAATTACAAGGAAGGCAATAAAAGCCCCAGCAATCCCTCCAATAATTGATACTTGATTGTTTACTTCATTTGTCCCTGTGGTGAACTTAAATTTAAGTAAAGTTTTAAATGTAAATAGATATATTCTTTCAATACGCATAAAAATGAACATACATTTTTATGATATGCAAACATCTATATGAGCAACTCAATAAGCTCACCCCAAATCTAAGGCATTCTCCAGTGACAGAATTACAAGTATTATTAAAGCAACTTTCACTGCAATTTTGCATACAATCGAACCCATAAGTGTATTGACCACATTCTGAAAGTAACCAGTTAAATCCAAATTTTGAAAGTTATCGGTTATATAGATATAACAAGAAACAAAAGTATGGTTTAAAAGGATCATCTAAAGATATCTTTCATTTTGTAATATTGTTTTGGCGTTTTATTTGACACTTGAATGTATGATCTCAAACTTGCGCCCATTATCGAGGAAAGCATAGCTTTGAATATTATGTAAGTATACCCTACCTTGTAAACAATATGTTCCTTGGTAACCTTTTCCACATCCAGCTGAACAAGAACCATTGATGTGGTGACAGGATGACGACGGATGACATTTACCACAGGGCTGGCTACAGTTAACGCCATATTTATTACTGGAACATTCTTAAAAGCATGAAATAAACATCATTTTTAGAATAGATGTCATTTTCCTTTTCTGGAAAAAGATGCAAAAATAGATCTATCAAGTTTTTCAAAGTAAGAATTTGCGTCCAGTTTCAACACATGTGTTAATGAATTTTGTGTTATATTAGAAACGTAATGTATAATCTTTGGGGGAGAAATTAGTAGAATTATCACATAGAATAAAGAACTTCACATGAAGAGAAAACAGTTAAATACTATTTCTGCATTGAAGTCCCTCAAATCCAATCTGGCATCCGCCCACACATTCCCCGGTCGTTCTGTTACATCTATTGGGTACTCCGCAGTTGTCATTACAATCTTGTTCACAGTTATTCCCAAACTTTCCAAATGAACATTCTGGAAATGATATTAACAATATTTCATATTTTTATGTCACTAATCTGCTTGTTTATTTTAGTTGTCGAATTCTTTATAATACACGAATAATACTCATCATACATGCAAGTACACAATTTAAGAAATACCATTTCATTATTACGAGGCAAATTACCTGTTGTACAAAAGTTTCCTTTATACCCAGTATCACAGCCCTCGGGACAAGACCCATTGATGTGATGACATTGTTTATATCCCAGGCAGGCTCCACATCTCTCTCCACAGTCCTGCCCATATCTGCCATCATCACATTCTATTGATTACAATCAATTTAGACTTTTCATTAAATAATGAAATAAAAGATTTTCTTCAGGCGTCATACAAGTATATAAGAGATATTTGTCTGACAAACTAACAAAACCCTATATTAAATGAAGCATTCGGGAAATGACACAACTCTTAGGAAAGTAAATTTTAAAATAAATCCCGAGATTAATTTAATCACTTTTTTATCTTCAATATTCAAATAAAATAACTCAGAAATTTCCTACCATTTTCACACTGATATCCCTGATATCCAGGTTTACACCAGGAGCACACTCCAGTCTCTACGTGACAGTAACGGCACTTGTCAGGACAGGGGAGGGAACAGTTAGGTCCGTAGTATCCACTTATGCAACCTTAATACATTTTAATATACTACCACTCCAGTGTTTGAGTGTTTAAGGTAAAATAACTATTTTTGGATAAAACGTATTCTAGAACATACATATAGATCTAATCCTTTTAAATTCATATATAGCCTGGCAATGTTTTTAAAAGGTAATGTTAAAGATTTTTAACAGGTGAACAATCATCAAATTACTAGGGAAATTAGTGAAATATTACTATTATTAAAAAAAAAAGTGTGAAAAAAGGAAACAAAGTAGGATGTAGGGTTTTCACTGTTTTACTCAGTAAACAACATATCGTAAACTTCAACCTCACAGAGCTCATTATGTGCGTAATTGGAATAGCCATCTGGATATGTAACATTTGAAAGTCTTTCGTTATAGTAGATGACATATTGTCCATGAACTGGGCATGTTATATTGGCAACGGCAGGAATTGTAGAATTGTCATAATTTGTGTCACGGAAACATAAATGACCATTTAGTCTCTCTGTTGTGTTTGACACATAAACAGAAAACCCTAGAAATCTTGCTGTGTAGCCATTAGACGAATCTGAAATTTGAAAGGATTTATTTAAAATTGATATTATTACGTTTAAATGTATCTGCTATAAGCTCATTTAAAGCTGTTAAGCCTATATTTAAGAACAAGCTGAAACATATATATATATATATATATATATATATATATATATATATATATATATATATATATATATATATATAGAAAGCACAAAGAAATCCACATTTACAAGGATACCCACTTCCGCCCCAGCCCGGGATTGAACTCTCGACCTACGGAATCTGTCTCCTAGCAGTACAGGAACAGCGCGCTAGACCGCTCGGCTATCTAGGCAAGTCAAAAAACTTGCTTTCGATGCCGATGGAATTAGTAACGATCCTCTAATAAAAAACTAATGTCCAAATAACTGTATCTCACTTTCATTCTCAATGACCGTGTAGTGTAGGGCAGTGCCGCGAGAATTCCATCGGCATCGAAAGCAAGTTTTTTGACTTGCCTAGATAGCCGAGCGGTCTAGCGCGCTGTTCCTGTACTGCTAGGAGACAGATTCCGTAGGTCGAGAGTTCAATCCCGGGCTGGGGCGGAAGTGGGTATCCTTGTAAATGTGGATTTCTTTGTGCTTTCTATATTAATATTTCTTCACTTAGGACAGTTATGTTAGTTTAAGTAAAATGTGCTTTATATATATATATATATATATATATATATATATATATATATATATATATATATATATATATATATATATATATATATAGGGGGGGGGGGGTTGAGAGGGTGTGTGTTTGTGAGGGGGTGTTTGTTCGTTTTGAAAAAAAAAATAAAAACGGAAATCGTTTGTTAATGCTTTTTCTTACTATTGCACAGGTAATAGTCACAGATGTCAACACGTTTTACAATTTAAGCTACATATACTTTCTTTTCCAAAAATGCTTTCTTTGAATAAACATGATTGAAAACATTTTAAATGAAAACTTGGAAAGATCGTCTCGTCTCATAACATTGTCGAAAGAATACTTACCCCATGCAGCATTATCTGTCCTGTAATAAATCCTTATGTTACGAATGCTGTAGATTGACTGCAGGTTTACCCACCAGGTAGCAGTTCTCTGATAATCAGCTGATACAGTGCAATGTCCTCCCCACGCACTGAGGTCAGATTTCTGTCCATCTACAGCATTACTGGAATCGAATGTACTGTCCCCTACATTGTACTGATTTGATTGCCATGTTGGTTTATTCAAAGCCACATTATCTAAAAATGATGATTACTTTTATTCATATTGTGATTGCACAGTTGATTGTATTTTAAAAAATGAACAGTTCTTAGCAAAAAACATATATTTTTAGAAACAAATAAGATTCCAAAGTTTTAGAATCAAATAAGATTGGTAGGTAAAAGGTAAATATAAAGTGTGTATGATAGAGACATTTTATCTTTAATTTTTTTTTAAAAAATCACTCATTATTGCTTCCAAACGTAAAATGTACTAAAATGATATGTATGGATGATTTTTATTGCAATCTGCCTAGTTTTTCTTTATTGACGTTAGATAGGATAGAGAAATTGATGCCTTATTCAATAGAAAAGCAACAAGGAAGTAAAAACTGCCTTTTACATTGAAATTTATGAGGTCATTTTTGAAAGCTATTAAAGTATGCTAAAAGCAACTTCTATAAGATAATGATCAACAGTATACACTTTGATGGTTGCTTAAGTGTATATAGAAAACAGAAAACGAATTGTTTTGTTTATAAGTTCCACTTAAGGCAAATATTTGTGCTTAGAATGGTTTGTTGTGACTTGAGAGAACGCCCCCTTCAAAACACAGTGATAAAGTTAACAAAATTGCTCGACTAAAACGTTTTTTGACGTAATGTACATTCTATGCATAAATGAACAAAATCAAATGAATTGTGTAATGATAAAGAAAGTGCGTGGAGAACTGGCCTTGTTATGACACTTCCTCTAGATCTGCGAAATGAATATACTAATGCAATATGGAATGTTTAAATATAAAATAAACTAGGCGCTACAAATTTTATAAGATATGAACGTGTATGTGAGACATTTAATCGATCTATGGATGAACTGAAAATGATTCCAAAGAAGAACGTCATTGGCGATAGACGAAGATTAACATTTGTGTTTTCATAATTTAAAATGTATTGCATATATCTGAATAAAAAGACAAGGTGCGGTATTATGGTTAGACCAAAGAGCCATAGCTGCCTTACCGACGACACGGCCGACTCAAGAATTTAAAGGGAAATCACCTGTTTCTATTTATAGATATACTGTAACCTTTTCAATTCATGAGCAATCTATCTAATATGATTTGAGGACGAGTGTTGCAAGTATGTCAAATGACAATCATTTTACTTGTTCAATACTCTAATTCTGAGACAAAAGATTTACGCAGAAAATCAATAAAAATAAAACAAGTTGCTATGAATTTGCAAACTTTAATAAAAGTTAAGGACTGTCTTTTCCCGAGATACTTTCAAAGTGTTATGTGTATATTATATCTTTCTGAAAATGTGTATGTTATAAAACATAATAAAGAAAAACGTAGAAAAGATACACAAAGAAAAAAAAAACATGGAAAAATGTGGGGCTCGAACTCGCGATCACCATATTTACATTTCAGCAATCATACCGCTGCGCCAACGAAGTCCATGATGACAAGTTGATAAATTTAAGACAGATTACTAAATCTTACGATTATATGAGAAGAAAAATTTAATATATATTTTCATCACTTTCAATATGAAGACCACCTTTAACCAAAATTATCTAAAGGGAATGAAGTGCAGACATATCCAAATAAAATTATTTAAAAGTTGTTTTTCTGGTTAAGGGTGGTCTTTGACAACAGTTTGTCATCGTTAGGTGGATACCTCAATATTTACTATATATTCTATACAAACTGGATAATTTTCAAATTTATCATATAAGGGAACTATTAACATTAAAATATCATTATTGCGTGATTTGTTTTTACGCATATATAAACTAAGACTGTATGACAAAATTTTGGTTAAAAAATGTATTTAAGAAATCTCTAGTAGAGTAGGCGAAAATGCCTATCAAATGCGCTATGGCTCTTTGGCCCCTATTTGATATCAGAATCAAAAGACAGTATAATTTGTGATAGTTTGCAATAAAAAAAAGTAAATGTTGTTTGTTTTGAAACCAGCACTAATTTTAATTCAAAGCATACATAGAGGCGAGTCAAGGATGAAAAAGTAAGGCATTTTAACAAATTTCCTCTACTCTGATGGAGTTTCATCAAATTTGAAATATTTTTCATTTCAGAAAATGTATAGCTTGCATATTTGAGAATTTCTTTTCAAGATGTATCTGAAAGTACTGCTTGAAATAAAAAAAAAAGGTAATTAGGTAAGATTATGGCCTGTGTTTTCTGAAATAAAATGTATTTCAAAATTGATGAAAATTTGAATAAAGATGAGAAAATTTGGGAATGGGCATATTTTGTTACCATTTCTGTGATCTCTGTGTATTCTATCACTTAAAACAAACATTTATATTGTAATAGGAATGAAAACAAGTTTTGGGTGATGATTTATTTCATCTTTCTTAGAGACATCCAAAACGAGGAACCAAAAACAAACTATGCCTATCTTGTTCTTTTGTTAGTAAGAGGAATTTTTCAGTATGTAAAGTTTTGCTTATAAATTTACATTATACAGGTTTTATAGCAGTTGTAACATTACATTTGGATCAACCCTTTTTAAAGGAGCAATATTGTTTGGACAATTTATAATCAAATATATACATTTGTGGTATCTCTCTATTATATAAACATGCAGAGAGCAAATATCTTCATACCTGTATGAAGTTTTTCGAAGGTCATAGGTCATTACGTGACCTAATCACACAGCGCAATAATATCTAGACATAAAAAGACTTACTCCACTAAGCAATATAGCATGTTTTTCATGCATAAAAATGTACAAAATACGCAAGTAAAATAATAATCATTTTATTTACAATGTAAACGAGTATTTAATACCGTTCTTGATCGATTTTACATAGAGAATAGAAAACTACGTGTTATAAGTTTCATGTCTGAGCTGCATAGTATCAACGTTTACCCTTATTTTTCTCGCAGACCTCTGAATGCTATTATTTTTTTTCCATTAAACTTTACTCACAATAAATTTGAAAATCTGTTGAAAAATATCAATGTAATGCAATCACGCCACAAACAGCTGACAAACACTGCACTTTGGAAGTTTGGTAGGCACACCTCCATCATCGAGATCGTTGTGACGTTGTCTTAACAATGTAAGCTGTCGCCAGTGTCTCCGTGTCAACATCATAAATTAATAAATATGCCTTACTGAAATCGTAGATTTTATGTTTTTGATCAAATTTTGTACTTGATTTCAAGTTATCTGGTCCGGACAAGTGTCTCCATCCATCCCTTTCCGACCGAAATTCCTCCAACTTTTTAGTATGCAACATCGGACGTGTTTCTTGTGTTTTTTAACATCGAATATGGGTTCTCATGAATACAAAAATTCCCAGACACCAATATGCTCACTATAACAATTGATCACATGTAGCTCTCACAGAATATTCCCTTCAAAACAATCCTTTGCCAGATGAATTTGAAGCGTAACCGCTTTTCAAGCCGATTTACACCTAGCGTAATTTGTCAAAATCTACGACGTACAGTTAGTGCAATATTTATATTCGATTACATTCGATTGTCCGTCTCAAATGTATATATAAGTAATAAATAACAAGTTTAAAACTTCAATGGGAATTGAAGTGGGTCGGTACGTGATCAAATCTTCTGAGAAGGCCTTCGGCCTTCACAGGATTTGATCACGTGACCGACCCACTTCAATTCCCATTGAAGTTTTTAAACTTGTTATTTATTTCTTAATTACAACCATTCTGGAAATAAGATTTAAAAATTATTCAAAAGAAATTTGGATTACATGTCATGTTATTCAATTGATAACAATGTCATTATTATTGCATTTGAATATTTAAATTACATTTTTATACAGTTATAGACTGGTATGAGGGCAACATATGGTTTGTTGGACCTGAAGGTGAAAATGTTGCCCGAGGCCGCAGGCTAAAGGCAATCATCTTCATCTTCAGGTCCAACAAATCATATGTTGCCCGAATCCCAGTCTATAACTTTTATAGCCTTCACTTAAGATAGAACTATAAAATTAAAACCTTTAAACAGATTTACTCATATTATAAAGCAATTTCTTTATAAGAAATATTTTGGCTTTTTAAATAAAAATGACAACAGCAAAGAATAAAAAAAAATCGATAAATTATCATAACAAAAAAAAATATTTATCACAAAACAAAACATTATTTTTCCCGTGACGCCATCTTTCAAATAGCATAGATGGTAACTCTCAAAACTTCGGATATTTCCTTGTCGCTGATATTGAACGAGGATTAATTACTTGTGACATAGCAGTGACGTTGCGGTCTAACAATTCTTATGATGAACTGACATACCGGTCAACAATGAAATTGTTAGACCGATGAAAAAAACATTCAAGTTGTTGGATTTATTATTCGTAGAAATATATAGAAAGATATTTATAAGGGTATAACAATTCATAATGTATGCATCATTGTCAACAATGTTTGTCATAAATCCTCAACAGTCTATATATTATCCACTTTTAGTATTTTTTTTTTTTAAATTGAAAACTTTTCCAGTTAAAAAAAATGTTTATGAATGTTTCTCATCTGCATGATTATCAAAAGGTCGATGAAATCTATAGTAATGACTCTTTTTTGAATATGCACTGAAATATATCAAAGGCAATTGATTATAATCAGATTAAAAGTATTATACATAGAGTAACACATGGCAAAACCAGTATCACATCCTTCATCAACCCGAGACTTCAATATCAGCCCGAGAGCCGAAGTCCAGGGGGCTGATATTGGTCGAGGATTGATATGGGATGTGATACCGATTTTGCCATCTTTTGTTGCTTTCGTTATATATTTGAAAAGTAAGTGTCGATAATTCATATAAACATGTAAATACATTTAATAACACTTTAACGTGTACTTCTCTTTTGGTTGAATATTTCTGTTTTTCATCATTTTATCCAAAGGCATTATATTCAGTGATAAGAATAAGAATACTTATAAATTAAATAAAAATATTTTGAATAATACTGAATATCCAAAATTGAAATTTGAATTAACATATAAGAAAAGGAAAAGATCGATCTACCCCCAATGAAAAGTACTGAGTTGTTCCTGAAAGGTATTATAAAGGGTGTGATAAAGGGAGAAATAAAGGGTAATGATACATGTACGGGGTGTGTAATACAGGGCGCGAGACTGTGTTCATATCAGGGATGCAAAAATCCTGTATTATATAACAAATATATAATAATACATTTCAAATGTAGCCAGAAATAATAAAAAAAGAAAGAACATCTATAATTTAATCCTTTTGATTAAATCGTTAATATTTAAAAGAAATCGGGTCTTTACTGGCTGTAATACTAGTACTTTGAGAAAGACTACAAGTATATATTTCCTCAATAACAACTTACACGGGATCTAAATGGAAATGTACCTCTGACACAGTGTGATTAATATACCAAAAAAAAAAAAAAAATAAAAAAAAATAAACTTCCGGTATTGAAAATGAAAGAAAACCTTGAGTGACTCTGTATTAATACATTTTTATACTTATTTACCATAAGAATACATAAAGTGGATATCAAGTTAACCGCAAATAAAACTGTATTTAAAAAAAAAACCGATTTTAAACTTGCCTAATGCTTCGAATGATATCATTGATTATATTTAAATGTAGACAAATCTTTTTACATCTATGATTTCAGAAGACCAGAGGCCTGTAATACGTAGATGGCATTTAACATGCCAATGCTTTGTCTAAGGAGACAGATGAAGAATCCCGCTATAAGTTATAAATATACCAATTGAAACATAAAGTCTGATTGAAATGTTGATATACATTGTGTTGTACAAAGTATTTTTTTTTTATGAAGGCATAAATTTACAGGCGATTCATAAAGAAGAATAAAAAAACCTCACATATGTTGACATTGTACTGTATCAATATAATGTTACATGTAAATAAACGCTATAAAAATAAAAGGAAACACTCTCTCGGTAAAAGGTGAGTAAATATTTCTATGACTAAAGCAAACGCAGAACTCAAGCATTTATTGTTTGGCCTGTTCTTAAATAAAATCTATATCATATTATTCACAACCAATAAAGATTTATCTTTACAAGCGATAGTAATTTGTGTAATACATGTATAAGGCAAACTGTAGCAGTGTTGCAATACCTATATTTGTGGATTCAGGAAAATGAAATCAAGAACACAGCATAAGCCTATGTCTTAAAACAAATAACAATTAGTCTTTATGATTAGGCTGTTGTTAAAAGGCACTCAGAGAAATAATTGAACTAAAGAAAACGGATGAAATCAGCTGATTCTAAAGTATGATATCATACTTCATTGGGAGACAAGGTAATAGTCACTTGTAAAACATTATGAACATCTTATCTACGTGAAATATTTAAATGAAATAAAACCAACTTACCATAACCATATGCAAGAAAAATTGTCAATGATAAGTAGTATATTTCTACAGAAGCCATATTAACTTCAGAACAGTACGTATCAATGAAATAATCCAGAAAAAAAGATATTTTTTATCAATCAACCAGGAAGTAATTGATTTGACCTTTCTCTTTCTTATATGATCGTCGACAGTAACCAAAACCGGAACTAGGTATACATCTTTTGAGGAAAGTTGAATATAATCATTGATATACACAAACGTATTTAGTCAAGAAAGATGATACATTTTGCTCAACATGTATGCATCATTTAAATATTTCTGTTTAAAAAAAGGCTATCTAAAAGAATACAGAATTTTCTGATATTTATGAATTAAATGAATACAATAGGCAAATGGCGTGTACAGGTGTATGTGATCTTAAATGTAATAACATATACATAACAGTATGAAATATTCATGGTCACTCACTAATTTATTTCATTTGGAAAATCTACCTACTTTGTGTTATATCAGTTATATGCAAACACTCACCGGAATCTAAAAAAAAAAAAAAAACACCTTGAATAAATATTTATTGCTTCACTGAAATTATTCAAGACAGATGTGAATCATTTTATGTGTATCAAATTATGTAGATCTGAGGCCTGTTCAACAGAGCGAACATTTCTGTTGGAGGGATAAGGGATTTTGGCAAGCGCTCGTGGACGTTCGCTCTGTTGAACAGGCCTCAGATATGTGGAACACATCAATCAAATTACAGCTGAATGTGCAATTTTGTTGAGGTCTAAAAACGTTCCATAAAAAGAGTGTAGAATAGATTTTCCTTTCCAAATTTGAAAGAACTAAACCTAAAAATATAATGGTATGTTATGAAAATCATGCTTAATACTTTTGTTTTTACTATAGAGAAATTAAATACTCTAAATTCTGTTTAATATGTAAACAAAAATTTACAACACTTGCAAAACGTGGTAACAAGAATATGCTTCTGATCAACAATCATTTGTAAAATTTATTAGTACAAGCGTTTTATTCAATTTAGAATAAATGGCTTGTTTCCCCTTTACTAAATATAGTGTAGCCAGTGCAACTTCGATCGAACGATTATCATACAAATTGAATAGGCAATTTCAATCATATCTGATACAGTGCTCCATGTACGTGAACAACAGAGAAAATAACAAAATTATTTTTTTAAAATTTTAACAGCTCAAAACTGAATTTCAGTTGATTAAACTACCCAAATTTGAAAATATTTTCCAAAAATCTTTGTCACGGAGTTTTCATTTTCAATATGACAAAGAACATACCCAAATAATTACAATAAAAAAATATATACATTTCCACCATAAATAAATGAACAATAGAGATATTTGTGCCACTTCTTTTGATCTTCTTGCACTTACATAAGATTTAACGGTTGTAAAACTGTTTGGGGGTTACTTGTAGAGTTAATGGAGTTGTGGCCCTTGTTCAATGGTGTACGGTTTTTTATCAGCTCCGACTAAATGTGAGTTTTAAGTTGAATTCAGCTGAGAATGTATGTGGTATAGGCTTGAAAACTATAAGAAAACTATAAGAACATTGAAGGGTGTGTTATGATTTGAAAATTCAGGGAGCAATGCTGAAATATGTGAGTTATTTGTGTTTGAATTTTATATGCTGGTGTTAGCGTTATGAACATTACTCACTCTAACCTGGATGTGTGGCATGGAGTCGTCCTAAGCCTGAATTTTCAGTTATAAGCCTTGTAAACCTATGTTACTGTATATTGCACAATTACATTTGATTCTATAAAGGTGTGTTTATATTAGTGGTATTGTGTAATTCTTGAAAATGGGTGAATCTAATAAAAGAACTCTTCAAGATATGTCAAAATCTTTTGCTGATGCGGCAGCTCGCACCCCTAAAAATCTAAGGAAGGGTCGGTATCTGAAAACACTACCACACAGGAGCATCAAAAGCCATCTCCAATATGCGCTTCAACGCCAACATCCCCATCAACTCATGGCTATGAAAATTTAGAACCACACCTCCAGCAGTTCAACCCTGGTTTTCAGCCCCACTATGTTTTAAATGGTCCATTGACATTATCTCCAGAGGATATTCAAAAAATTGCCGAAGCTGTTAGAGAGGGTATCCGTGAATCATTTCGAGAGGAAATTTCCTCCATGATTGAAGAAAAATTGCCCCACTTCGTGAGGAGATAGACCGTCTACGAAATGGGAACAACGACATGCGTCGACAGATTGATGAGCTTGAACAGTACGGCAGACGTCCGCTCATCCGAGTATCAGGAATTCCTGAATCAGAAGGTGAAAACACCAGTCAAAAGCTCCTTGAGGCTACCTCAGCTGCCGGAATAGAACTGTCAAAAGATGATATTATAAACTCACACAGAGTTGGAAACCCCAGAAAACAACGACCAGGTCCACGCCAAATCATCGCTCGCCTGAAATCTGTGGATACGAAATTCCATGTGCTCAGAAACTCCAGCAAATTTCATGATTGCGAAGAAACTAAGCGTATTTCGGTTAATGAGGATCTGACTAAATTCCGCGACAGACTACTCTATCTGTGCAGACAATTGTGTCGACAAAGTCTCCTCAAGAATGCAAGATCTTCTAATGGAAAAATAACTGTTAAAGACAATCGCGATAAGTACCATCATATCAGAGACGAATCAGACTTGGTCAAATTCGGACATGAAATTCAGGAGGCAGTGTAGTCATTTTTACAAAATCCTCTGATGACTTTCTGACAAGTATTTCAGTAAGACCTATAAAACTAAATGTCAATCATAACAATAGCTTCAATATTTTTCTAAATTTAATTTTTTGTATGTTCCAGAGTAAATCAACTTTATCCACAACTTCTCAATTCCCTTTACCCTATGCATTTTTTGCATCTCTTGTTTATTCAATTATGTATATACATTTTTGTTGCATTGTATATCCATTCCGCTATTTGTTTTTGTGAAGATACCATTTTTGTAAATGTGTACCTTTACAATTTTCTCAAAAGACTTTCCACAACTTTAAACCTTTTCAACTTATTTACACTGGTTTTGTATTCATTAATTTACACCAGTGTACAGTATATTATTACCCATGTTATCCCTATGTACATATTCATATTCTATTTGTTTTTCCTGTTTATCTTGTGTTTGTGTTATACTTTGTATTATTTTTTTGTTGATACTTTGAACTATACATTATATCCAAAATCTCTAAGTCATGCAAACAAATATGTGTATTTAGTGGTTTTTGTATTTGTCATAACTTTAGCAGCTACCGATTGCAGCCTCTTTTTTAAATTCTACTTATGTCACAAGGTAGATAATGGGTAACTCAATCGAACAATATCGTGCTGCAATTGGTCTTTTCTATTTATCTGGCAGAGGTACATCAAAAACATGTTTATGGTTGTTTTTTTCATGCGCATGTATATTGCAACTCATGAAAAATGTTTTTAGAATACTCACTCAGTGCTTGACATCCATTACACTAAAATCTGTGTACGTCAATTTTTATTTACAATTTTTCACATTTGTTCTATTGGCATGTGGTGACATTGAGGTCAATCCGGGCCCTGTTATTGAAAATGTCCTTGACATTCTACACCTTAATATCCGAAGTATTCGACACAAACTAGGTCATTTAAACTCTTTCATTCACGACTTCGATCTTTTATGTTTTACAGAAACCCATCTTGACAATACCGTAAATAATGAAGACTTATATTTGGATGGATTTTGTAATATAATAAGAAAAGATAGGAACTGTTTCGGGGGAGGTGTCATGATTTATTTCTCTAACCAAATACGTGTTATTAGACGCCATGATTTTGAACCCTCTAACATTGAATGTATATGTATCGAAATTGATAACCATACCTCTAAAATCTTTTTATGCTGTGTATATCGTCCTCCGAACTCTGATAGTGGTTTTTGGACCAAACTTTCTTGGTGTATTGACAAAATGAGTGAAAAATCGGATAAAATAGTTTTAGTCGGTGATATTAATGTTGATCTTCTTACATGTAACACTCCACAAACACATATCATCCATGAAATTATTTCAACACACAACCTTGTTAATAATATTATCGAACCGACAAGAATTACGCACACGTCGAGCACGCTCCTTGACCCAATTCTCACTTCTGTTGACATTCAAGTTCGTGAATCGGGTACATTAGTAGTGGACTCTTCCATAAGTGACCACAGAGCTACATATATATCGCTTTCTTCAAACATAAATTATAATCGATCTTACAAAAGAAAAGTGTGGGCTTATAAAAGAGCTGACTTTGAAAAACTAAATTCTTTAATTGAAAACTGTGATTGGAATAAGAACATAAACGAGGCTCATACAGTAGATATAGCATCAGAAAACTTTACTTCTGAATATCTTTCGTGTGTTCGTGAATGTATACCTGAACAAACGGTAACCATACGTCCTCGCGACAAACCATGGTTTGACTCACTTTTAAGGAAAACAATGAGAACTAGGAACCGACTTCGTAAGAAAGCACACAAAACTAAAAAAGATTCTGATTTTGCCGCATACAGAACGGTTCGAAATTCGGTAAATAATATGAAAAAATATGCGATAACAAATTACTACGACAATATAGATACATTCTTAGAGGATTCAAGCAAAAATAATAATAAACTATATTGGAAGTTGATGAAAGACGCATTCAACGTGAAATTGTCCAACGAAATCCCACCAATAGAAATAAATAATGATAACGGTATAAAACATTTTGCTTATTCAGATATCGATAAGATTGAAGCGATAAATTCGTATTTTTCTTCAATTTCGACAATTGACGATTCAGATGAAACATTGCCAAACATGTACAATTTGTGTAGTGACACACTCTGTAATATTGTCATTGAGGAACAAGAAGTAATAGATATTATATCAATTCTTCCCGTGAACAAAGCCATAGGTCCTGACTGTATTAGTCACAAAATGTTAAAATCTACTCTTTATACAGTTGCTAAACCACTTACATTGTTGTTTAACAGGTCTTTATCGGAAAAAACGTTTCCAGCTTTTTGGAAAA